GCGTAGAACTTCATAAGTACGTACATCAGTTCGAGTTGCCACACCACATTAGCACAGAGATACAGTTGTCGATTCAAATCCCGTCGTGGTAGAGATAATAAGAGTATAAGCAGTAATCGGGAAGATTAGGGTTTGGAGATGTTATTTAAAGAGTATAATGTAGTGAAATAAATTTGGAAAGAGGAAAAAAGGGACATGAAGAATTCAGAAGATAAGAATTTGGGAGAACACAGAGAGTGGATGCACCTGCGCGACAAAAGTTTCCATATACATAAACAGTTCATCTGCGCCATTGCAAAAGATTTTGAGCCATGTCATTCAGGGTCTCTAACCATCGGTTGCTATCATCTCGCGGTCCCCAACCAGGTAGTCTACACCTACCAACATGACTCAGTTCACTTCGCAGTGACTTCATGGACTTGTGCCATGTTTTGGTTTGGTCGCCCCTGGCTTTCTTCCAACCTACTCCTATACCACTGAACATAGCACGTCGAGGCAGTCGGTGGTTGTGCATACGTAACACGTGTCCCAGCCATCTCAACTGATGAAGTTTCACTACTTCATCAATTGATTTGCCATCCTTACCTAGTACCCGTTTCCTAACAACTGTGTTACTTACTCGATGGTCCCAGGATATACGATCAATGTTTCGAAGACACCTATGATCAAATACTAGTAGCCTACGGATATCCTCTACTCTTACCGGCCATGTTTCACTGCCATAAAGTAGGACGGGACGAACTGCTGCGCAGTAAACACGTCCTTTGGTTGATAGACGGATATCTCGCCTACGCCATAAATGACGCAAGTTGGCAAAAGCTAATCGAGCCTTCTGTATCCGTGCTGAGATTCCGTCACACACCAGACTACAAGGGCTGATGAGACTTCCAAGATAAGTGAAGCGGTCGACACACTCAACTACTTCACTCCCTATCACTAGTTCAGGTGTCGATGTAACCCAATCCTGAAGCAACATTTTGCATTTCGAGGGAGAGAATCGCATGCCGAACATGCTTGCATTGATGATTAGAGTGGTAAGAAGACTCTGCATTTTGTCAGCGTCTTCACCAAATAAAACTATGTCATCAGCATATTCCAAGTCAACAAGTGAACCTCCCGGTAGAAATTCAACCCCTGGAAATTTAGATGAGAGTGTTATCTCTAAAAGTACGTCCACCACAAAGTTGAACAAGAATGGGGAGAGTGGACAGCCCTGACGAACACCACTTGAGGTAATCAATTCTGATGACAGTTCGCCATAAGCTCTCACTCGACCAGTTGTGTTCGAGTAGAGAGCCTTTATAAGGTTAATGTACTTCTTTGGTACTCCTTTCAGTGACAAACACTGCCAAAGAACCTCACGATCAACAGAGTCGAATGCCGCTTTAAGGTCGAGAAATACTACGATTGTGGGGCGTCTGAACGTGTGTCTGTGTTCTAGAACCTGACGTAGTGTGAATATCTGATCTATACAACCACGTCCAGGTCGAAAACCAGCCTGGTTTTCTCTAATCTGCTCTTCACGAGCTTTGATTAGGCGTCGAAGTATTATTGAAGCTGATATTTTAGACACTATATTAGTCAAACTGATTCCTCTGTGATTGTCACAAGAGGACTTTTGTCCTTTCTTATAGACTGGCACAATCAGTGATTGAGACCAGTCAGATGGGATTACGTCCAGTTCCCAAATCCTACCTAAGACCTCAGTTAATCTCATTGCTAATACTGGACCACCATCCTTAAAAATCTCAGGAGTAAACCTGTCAGAGCCTGCTGCTCTCCCTCGCTTCAGATTTCCTATGGCTTTTTCAACTTCGTAAAGGGACGGAGGACCTACATTAACTTGCCATTCAGGTTGACTAGAGATCGTGGGAAACCAAAGTGTGACTGAAGGCCAGTTGAACTGATCCCTAAAGTGTTCTGCCCATCAATCCAATCTCCTGGATTGAGAATGAATAATATGTCCATCTTTCTCTGAGATTGTTTCGCTAACGGTCGGGTTCCTAATTCCGGTTTCCTTAACGAGTCTGAACAATTGTCTGCTATTACCTATTGCCGCTGTCTTTTCCATCTCTCTTGCTTTCGCTACCCACCACTGTTCGCGATCATTGCGTAGACTTCTTGTCAGCTTGTGCTTAAGCTGACTCCGCTCTTCATTATGTTCAGAGCCAGGTGGAATGAGTTTCCGAGCATCTATCAGTGAGATAGATGCTGCTGAGATCCAGTGTTGCTCCCTAACCTTCTGGTTTACCTTACTAGCAGATATCACTGCTGTTTCCACAGCTTTTCGGATATCATTCCATGCTGCATCGGGGTGGGCATCACCTACATGGCTGCCTAACTGTTTTCCTAGTTGTTCCTGAAATATACTCTTAGCTTGACTATCATTAAGTAGGCCCCTAAGAGGTTTCCTTGCAGCGTCTTTCCTACGTCCAGTAAGACGCAGACAGATACGCGCTCGCACTAGAGCATGATCTGAATCTAGGCATGTGCTCCAGAATGAGCGACAGTCTTCTATCGAGCCCCTCCATCGGTGGCTGATAGCGATGTGATCTATTTGGGTCCAACGTTGGGACGAATTAGGGGGTCGCCATGTTAAAAGATGTTTTTCCTCATGCCTAAAGTTAGTATTTGCAAGGAACAGGAGGTTATCTGAGCATAGCTGCAACAGACGGTCGCCATTATCTGTTCTCTGAGCCACGACACCATAAGATCCACCTAGGTGTCTTTCCCTATCACTTAGTTTACCTACTTGAGCATTAAAGTCACCGGCCACTATTACTACATCCGAGCGCCTAGCTTTTAGGAGGAGGTCGGAAAGCTTTCTGTAGAGTGTCCCTATCTTTCCGGATTCTTACCGTTACGTTTAGTCGGACAGCGCACAAACGACTGTCTACTGGGATCCACTCTAAGAGAGCTAATTCTGCCCTAGGACTCAATGCTATGCCTACGCCGGCGAGGCCACGGGAAGCAGAATCAGGGCTTCCAGATACACGAAGCGTAAATCGAGTCGGTTCTTTATTTTGGCATGGTGAGGTCAAATGAATGACGCTACTTGGATCCTGTATGCGCGTTTCGGAGACGCAGCACACATCGATGGCGCGAGATTCTAAAGTTTTAGCTAAGGAAGCCTGCTGTCCTATTTGGCAAAGTGTTCGTATGTTATAAGCTCCTACGTGTAGTTTAGAGCGTGGTTTCAGGAGACCAGGAATGGCGTTCCACGTACTCGAATCGTTTGCCCTAGCGGTGCGAGGTGATAAAGAGACGTGAGGAGGGTTAGTCGGGGAGATAAGAGAGGTATTAGAAGGTATAGGAAGGATTTGAATGTGACCACCTTGGTCTCTTGTGCTGTTACGGGTATGAGGGCTGATATCACTTCCCGGCTGCCCACACCGTGGAAGGGTGTTTCTTGAGGAACCTGAAAAGTAAATTGGATTAGTGTTGGTCTTGACGACCTGGGAGCGTGACCGTAGAGCCCAAGGGACAACTGCTTGAGGCCGGTCGCGCACGGCCCTTTTGTGGAAGGTTTTTGACGTGTTAGCGCCGTTCTTCAAAGGGCCTTACCGCCGGAGACGGAAATCCGTGAGGTAAGGTGAGGTGTGACATTTTTAGGGCCGACCTTTTCTAACCCCACCCCTCCTTGTGGGAAGGCAGCATCGCTGTCATGCTGGTTGTCCGAGGGAAACACCTTACTGCTGTCACACCTCTGTACAGTCAGCAGTACGACTTCGCCCCCAGACCTTGAGTTGCTGCTTTTAGTCTTACCGTTCATCAACCGACCTGCCTGGCATGGTAGAACCTGCAGGAACATATGTTCCAGCCAATATAGCTCGGTTGGGTCATCACGATAGGCAAGCCCGACCACCGCGTCAAGGTAGCAGCTTCGATCGGGTAATCAACAAAGAGCTCCACTATGTCATCATGACAGGTGACCTTTGTTTGATGTCGTTGCAGCACACTATCAGACAGTTAATATTATGGTATAGCAACTGGGGCCGGTGCGTATTTGTGCCGGGCTCTTCGTTGATGATGACTGACTGATCTCTGCCTCATCTGACATCATATATCATTGTCGTTTGGAAGAATCCAGTTGCTTCTGTCCTTGTATTCTACACTTAGCAAGGTAGTGACCAGGCTGTAGCCTAAAAACTTATGCAAGTATAGTGTAGCCTAACAGTAAACAAGGAACAAGCACCCGAATTTCTTAGTACATACGCACAATAAGAAGAGGACCACTTATCTTCTGTTACTGAGTATTTGTCTTCTCAAAAAATAATGTACAACTCTTTTGACCGATAATACGTAATACACCTTGTAAAAACTTAAGTGTCAAGATTTCCGAATTCTTCTAGAATAAAGCTAGGGGTGGCCCAATAAAGACACGGCATACGTCCATATAGTCATTCACAATTTGACAGCCATATTAATAGTTGTCGACTACCTGATCGGGTCCGCGTAATTATCGTGACCAATGATTAAAGACTTTAAATGACACAGCTTAAAATCGTTTGTAATGGCGCAGGTGCATCCACTTTTGTCTTTACCCAAGATTCTAAGCTCTCGAACTTTTCATAACTTTATGTGTGTTTCTGTTTCACTAATTTAAATTTTCTCCAATTGTATCTTTGGTACCTAATCTTTTCTATTGTTTCTGGTACTTTTACTACCTCTACAATTCTGGAATTTGGCCTGACAATTTCATCTCTCTGTGCTAATGGAGTATGGCAACTTGAACCGATGTACATATGTACTAGGTTCTACATTGCGAATGATCGAAACTAACTACGGGGAATAAAACATAAAAGTTTTAAGTTGTTCAGTGTTGCCTCTATCATTTCCTTTACGTCTTATATGATTCTATTTTATTATTTTATTTGAACACATAAATATTGGTACAAGAGGGCACCAGATATATATGCGCCACATTCATATGATTACATCTGAAGTACACTCTCGAGAATTGAGCCTAGGATTACCAAGTACGTATCTAATATGTCATCCCGTGAACTATTATTATTGTTTCAGTTATTTTATGCACCATTTTATCTAAAAGGAACTAATGTAAACTTGTTATACTCTTCTAAAGTTAATTTTAGAGTACTTATTATATTAAATGATGGGTCGTTCTCACTCTCGCTACAGCTCCTCAAGTTCATCAAATGAAAAGCGTAAAACATATCACACGAAACCCCACAGTCGTTCACATCGTAAGAAAGTCAAAAGAAAATCAGTCAATCGGAATGCATCGAATAGCCGTCAAAAAGATAAAATACTCAATCTTACTCAAAAAGTGTGCAATATGGTTGATGCTGATAAGAAGCGTAATCGTTCTGAAAAGCATAAGAATAAATTGACATCTTGTGGATGTCCATATAATTGTGAAGACGAGATCCTGACATTACGTAACAGCATTGAGAACCTTCGTTCCGGTTTAAGTCTTTGTCACAAAGAAAGGCCAATTTTTCAGCTCGATCATTTTGTTGACGATCATTATCAGCTTCTTTCTGAAGCTTGGATTTCTATCGGTCCATCTAAGCTCAAAGATCTAGTATCTGCTAATTTACTGTCAATATGTGCTCGACGAGAACGTAGGGATATGAAACATTCATCTGGTAAGAACCCCAAGGTTTCATGTGTTGTCCAACCCTATGTATCTTTTGACGGAAGTGACTACCAACTTGGGATTTCGGAGTTGTGGCATAGATGTATTCAGGAGCTGAATGATTTGTCAATCGACCAAATAAAAGCCATTCTAAGTGGAACAATGAACCTTGATCCGGTTGAATTAGTTCGTCATCCTAGTAACAAAAGTGAGATTGTCAGCTCCGAAAAAGATAACTGCTCTCATTCCCCTAAACTAAATCCAGTATGTGAAAAGAATTTTGAAATGCAAGTTCACGATGCTGATTCAACTACTGCCTTGTGTTCAGTGAGTTTTTCAAAGTAAATTTTCTTGAAAATTTTTGTTGTTCAATACGATGGTCCCTTACTTAACACCCCATGGTCAGTCCGGTAGCTGTATTAGTTACCCACTGAATCCTTTGGGATTCTACCCTCATTTTTTATGGATTCCCTTTAAATTTGATGTCAAATAGTTCACTTTTTAAAACATATCAGGTCGACCAAATGATATTGTTAGACCTCAGTAAGATTAAAATCTAGCCTATAAATATATCTTGAAAAATAATGGTCCAGCGTTAGAAGTTAGATTGATTGAAGTGTTAGCTGGAATCTTTGGACTTGTTGCAATCTCACCTGACTGGTCCCAATCACCTATTGTTTCAGTCTATAAGGATAAAAATCCTCTTTCGACAATCACAACAGTCATTTTGAATAATATGATAATGTGATATACGGATCACTATACAATTTGGTTAGGGGTGAAGATATGATCAGTATATTCATGACTAGAATAAAGAATCGCTTGCTCCCCACCAGTTAGTCTTTAGTGGATTTAAATAATCTGTCAATTATCACAAAACGCAAGTAGTTTGGACGCAGTCAAAAGTAGATTAATCTCCATGTAATCGTTGGGTCGGCAACGTAAACTCTGTTTTTAAAGATGAAGATAACTGTAGCTCCCTTCCAGGATGTTTGAACACTAATTACCAAACTTCCAAACAACTCAGTCAGTTGTTGGCCAGAAGTTCCCAAACATCCATAAAATATCCCGAGAGTAAGTCAACTGGGACTGGCGATTTGCAGCCTCTTGTGAACTCCCTGTTCATCAAGTAAATCAATCGTCACCGGCCATAAACGGTAGTCTGATTGATGTTGCTATGGTAGCAGATAAGCTGAACTGTTCATCGTTCAAAACTTCGGTGGATGCTGTTGATTTCCTTGCCATCAACTTCACAAACTATATTACTCACACCAGGTTTTTGCTGCCAGTAGTTTGGATGAGTTAGGAGAGTTTCCGACGGTCATCAGATTCAGCTGATGCTTTCAACTCACCAACACACTCCGACCACCGGGCTTCTCTAACCTTACGCATACTTTGCAATATTGTTCGTAAGAATTCCCATTTATCATGAAACCGGCGGTTGGGCGAAGTAAATTGATATGCCTTGAGAAGTAGTAAGGAGCCCGTAGAGACCCGGTGCTTACGTGTAGATCATTTCTTAGAGCCACAAGCAACTTCACCCACCATTTTCATGACGTGATGAAAATGCAGTCAGTGCTCATCCATACTTTTCGCCGGGTTGATAGCTGAACTAAAATTGAACTCAATTTGATATTTGATTGGGACATCAATCCGTTTAAAATGATAAATATGTTGTCTATTGAAACACAGACTAAAGGTCCAGCCAAGTGCTCCAAAAGGAGCGGCAGCTCTGTACAGAACCACACCAACGGTAGCTGATCGCGATGTGATCAATTTGAATCGAGGCTTAGGATGCAGAAGTATCGTGCCAGGTGGCACATTTGCGCTGACTGTGCTGAAAGTCGGTATTAACCAGAAACAGATTGTTGTCTGCTGGAAAATTCAATCTTCGGCTAGGAGTGTAATATTTGTCGAATGGACTTTCTTGATGGTAGAACTCATCCTTGATTAGATTGGGATTACAATTTATCGGGGCGTAGGCGGATATGGCGAAAAGACATTGCTACTCATACCGATTTCTTCTCACTTTGACGGAGCTTCCTAATTTAAGAGCACATAATCAACTGTGAGTGGGAATCTAATCAGTTAGTGCTGTCTGAGCAACATCAGCGCCATCAAGAATAGATGAAGATGCCACAGAGTTCCTGAATAAAGGTACGCGGAGCAAGCATTTCTAGTTGACGGATGGAGAGTGAGTATTCAGCACTTCACTGGGGTCTTAGATGTTGATCTCAGATAGACAACAGACGTTATTGTTTATTATTTATTTGAACACATAAATATTGGTACAATGGGGCACCAAATATATATGCGCCACACAAAACATTCAGAATGGGAAGAGAAAAAAGAAGGTTAGGTGTGCATAAAAAAAACACAATAACAACCATAGATTAATGTAAGGTAGTGTAGTAATAATAATAATAATTGGGGGAACGAAAAGGTACAATCAGAAGAATTGTTTCAGTTAAGGAAGATACAACCACTTTTTATGGAAAAAGTAAAAGAAGGTTACAGCAGGATCGCTACTGACTTCTGTTCTGAGCCATATCTGATAACATCTCTAGCCACTGTGTAGCACCATCTCTCGGACCCCAACCAGGGAGTCGTGAAGGACCAACAGAAGCCAGTCTTTTGCAGATTTCTTTCATACCACGACACCATGTCATACACTAACCACCTCTCCGCTCCTTCCAACCAGTCCCAGAGTCGGCAAATAATGCACGACGTGGAATTCTCTGAACCCCCCTGAATGCCCTGGTACGGCCGAGAGTGGGGAGAGTCCGCTCTCCTTCTCGAAATACTCTCACACGGCCACGCGTATACAGCCTCTGCCAGGGAAGTCTTACTCATTGCCTTCTCGTGGCGGGGGTGTTGTTTACGAAAATGAGAGGACGAAAAGCGAATGTCCGGCGCTTTAACCGGATTCCAAATCAATGGTGCACATGGGCTCCAGTATCCTGCGGGAACGAATGGCGTATGAACCAATCGTTGGTCACCGGCTACCATGGGACTGCATCTCCTTACGATGCTCCACTGCCTTGTGGGTTAGACCTTTAGGTCAAAGGCTCGGGGAGTGGCCCCCTAAGATAACCACCTGCTTCGGTTTGGGCACCCGGGCAGTATCACAGCCCACACACAAATTGATGAACTCTTTATGCCTATGGAAATTACCTTTCTCGCTTTGAAAAACAAACAATTGATTCAGATTATTATCATTACAATTATTGTCATTATTAATACTATTATTATTATTATTATTATTATTATTATTATTATTATTATTATTATTATTATTACAATTATTGTCATTATTAATACTATTATTATTATTATTATCATTACAATTATTGTCATTATTAATACTACTACTATTATTATTATTATTATTATTATTATTATTATAATTATTGTCATTATTAATACTATTATTATTATTATTATTATCATCATTACAATTATTGTCATTATTAATACTATTATTATTATTATTATTATTATTATTATTATCATTATTAATATTAATATTATTATTATTATTATTATTATTGTTATTATTATTATTATTATTATTATTATTATTATTATTATTATTATTATTATTATTATTATTATTATTATTATTATTATTAATAGCTTTATTCAATATTATATTTTTGGTACAATATAGAATTCTCAGCGTAAAGTATTTCAACAAGTTTCCGTTTCTTTCTTCTTCGTCGGTCCTGGCGATAAATATTGAGTGATCTCCAGTTAGATATTAGCAGTTCACTAAATGAACATCTGAATAATGTGCATTCTTTTCGCTGTATATTGCCAGCAACCACATTGGCTCTAATTGAGTTTTTTGTAACTTTGACAACGAAAGGTTGTACACTTTTCAGAAACGCAGCAGAATAGGTTGTGCGATTAATAAAAATAGATAACTTGTTGAAATATCTAAATGGCAGGAACAGGTCGCCCAGATGCTTAAGCAGGCCGCCGTTAAAACTTTCCAAAGACATTGCCAGCCCTATCTGTTGTCCGACCTGCATAAGTGTGCGAACGTTGAAGGCACCTAGTTTGAATGGTGCATGTGGTTTTGGAAAAACTGGTTCAGTATTTGTGTTCGGTGGTAGCATTCAATTTTCGACCAGTCAGTGACTCGAGATCGTTTAGGTAGAACAGAGTTTCCACCGTGGGCGTTAATTATAAACCTTTATAAAGGCAGCCAAATCACCAGTTGTTCGATCTGCATTAATGTGTGAACGTTGAAGAAGACCAGTTTGAATGGTATACGTAGTTTCAGAAAGACTGGTTTAGAATTCATATTCGGTGGTAGCATTCAACTTTTGATCGGTCAGTGACTTGAGACAATGTAAATAGTACAGAAATTCCATTATAGGCGAGGTGCTGTATAAGCTGAATAATAAAGGAATACACAAAATGGGAATTAAGGGGAATAGACAAGTGGCTCACTGTAAAACAAAAATGAATGTTACCAAAAACTTGTGAATATGGTTTCCAGGGATGCAAATTGAAGCGAGAGTATTTTTTCAGTCGTAATTATCTTCAAGTTTATATTTGGGCACGGATACTGTCTGGATGTCAAGACCAAAGTAGGTGGTTTTTCTGTATGGCCACTCTGAACCTTTTGCCTAGAAGCTCGATCGACAAGTCAGAGGAGCAACGTTAGAAAGTCCGGTCATAGTAGCAGGTAACCAAGAATAGGTTCATACTTCACTTGATCCTTCAGGACCGTGCAGCCCATATTCACTATTGGGCGTTCCAACTTCCATAGGTCTATATTCCGTACTCAACAACCCTGTTTAAGTTTTCGACTTTCATTTTTCATCCCCCACCACGAGAGGTACAGTGAGTAGGACTTCCCTGGCAATGGCTACATAAACGCAGCCATATGACGACATTTAGAGAAGGAAAGAGGGTCCTCACCACCTTCGGCCGTACAAGGGCATTTGGGGGATAATTCAGTGAAGATTAAGCAATAAATTTGAACCCGTAGTATCCAATTAATCTGATGCACAATGTTGTCTGTCATAAAGTAGGTTAGTAAAAGGCCATATATAAAAAGTGGTTGTATCTTCCTTAACTGAAACAATTCTTCTGGTTGTACCTTTTCGTTCCCCCCATTATTATTATTATTGCTACACTACCTTACACCGATCTCTTCGTTATTGTTCTCTTTTTTTCTTGCGCTCCTTACCTTTTTTTCACTTTTCTCTTCGAATTCTCATTGTTTTGTGTGGCGTATATGTATTAGCGCTCTCTTGTTCCAATATTTATGTGTTGAAATAAATAATAAATAAATAAATTTCGGTTGGCATTATATTGCTTTCTTTTCATTTTCATCTGACTAATCTCCTTTCTCGATGTGCGATGTTAAGTGTAACGACTTATTCACCCATACACATTTGTGTCCGGTCGTATTTTGGCCATAACTGACTGGCTGTCCCCTATATTGCGATATCATGTTCGCTATTAAACCAAATGGTTCTAATTTCAGAAAATATAATGGCTTAGCTTTCCAATCTCCTGTTATAGAGGGAACTGATGAAAATGCAGCTAATAATAACAAGGCTTCTTTATGAATCATCCTTTATTTCCAATTAATTTGTGTATTTATATTTATGGATGGTTTTTATCACAAAGTGATGTCAGAAAACACTGAAAAGCTTAATGTTCCACCTTCGGAAATCACCATCAGTACACACCGATAACCTCACATGAGACCAAATCCAGGACTTTTAAGTTCTGGTGGTGGGGGGGAACATAGTATTTTTAAACCTTTACACAAATATTTTTGATAATAGCTAAACAAATACACCTGTACGTGACAAATGAGTTACTTATTTTCACATAATCACTCTATAGTCAATGTAGTGACAATTGCTTACAATATGCGTTGGTTATTGTACTCACTAAACAAAAAATCGTATTCCAACAACATCTTTCAAATAACATTACGTTTATCATCTGATACGTTCGTCTGTTGTGATAATGATTCACAACATTCTTTCTCTTTATTGTTAGTTCTGTTAGAAAGATCGTAATATTAACGTTTTTATATTTGCTTTATTGAATAGATTACTTTACTTAAGAAATATTTCTGTTTTCCTAGGTACTTGAAAATCAATTTGATGTTCAAAAAGCTAATGATCATAGGATTATTGATGATAAACTTTACAAAAATTCGGAATCATTTACAAAATCCTGGTCTTCTACAAGTCCAAAAGATTGTAGAATTGAGGAAAAACATTCAACTGGAGAAACTTGCTGTATTTCAGATTCAAAGGATTTAGTAGTATGTATAATGTAAAATTACAATTGTTTTTTTTTATTGTGTTAAGCTTATCAATCACTTATGAAGTTTTGAGCCCGATCCATGGTAGTTCATGGTCTCGTACTGCTTATAAGTCTATAGCTCTATATCATGTCCTTTCTAATCATACTGTTATAAGATTATATACAGTTTTAGGCTGCTTCATACTACTGATATGTCATATTAGTAGTACGATGTATTAACAGTAGGAAATGTATGCGAAAACACAAATCACACTATTGCTTATTCATTCACACAACAAAAATAGCAACTTATCGCTTAAAAAATTCAAATTATCTACTCCCTTAGAATTCATTTGTTGTAGTCATACCGTTGTGCAATAAAGAAGCTAGTTTCATTTAGTTACTTATATTTATTATTCTTAGCAAAACTTTGGTACAAATGGACAGTTCATAAAACAAGCCATTTAACTGGATATTTCAAGGTCGGGACACTAAATCAGTTATTATCACTGTATCCAAATATATTAACAGACTTCATGATTACTTTTACAAAATGTTACTATTCAGTGTAAACAATCATTGGGAGGCACAGATGATAGGCCACTTAAAGTTGTCGATTATCTTAAGCTCATCTGGAGAAAGCAGATTGTTCAAAAATAGATTAGAACCGCTCCTACTAAATCGTTGTGCACCATCTGACTTCAGATATTAATCCTTTAAACCTCCAAATGCCAGACAGTCAGTCACAACGTAGAACCTGGTTCGTCAGTCAGTTAGCTACAACGTAGGACCAGGAACATATATGCATCGGTTCAAGTTGCCACACCTAATTAACACAAGATGAACAGCGGATTCTCAGACTTAGTTAACTCAGTGGCTCTAATATATAAAAGGAAGATTGCATATAAGCATATTCTATAGGAAGAAAGAATTAGGTAGTAGAAAGAAAGATATAAAGCAATTTTAGTCTAACAGTTTAAGGGAATTCAGAGAGTGTAAACACCGACGCCATTATGATCGATTCTGAGCCATGTCACTCAGAGTCTCCAACCATTGGTTACGATAGTTGCACGGACCCCAACCAAGTAGTCTGCATCTACCAACATGACTCAGACCAGAAATTAATGACTTCAAGCACTGATGCTACGTTTTGGTTTGGCCGCCCCTAACGTTTTTCCAACCATCCCCAACACTAGTCAGCATTGCACATTGTGGTAGTCGGTGTTCAGGAATATGTAGCACGTGGCCCAACCATCTCAGTCGATGATGATTCACAACCTCATCAAGTGATTTACCATCAATCCATAATGCCGTGCGTCCAACCTCACTATAACTTATACGGTGATCCTTAGCAGATGCGATCAACATTTCTAAGGCATCTGTGGTCGAATACTGGTAGCTTATAAATATCTTCTACTCTTAATGGCCACATTTCGCAACCGTAAAGCAGAACAGAACGAACTTCCGTGCAGTATACTCGCGTCCTTTAATTGATAGACGGATATCTCGCCTTCTCCATAGGTGACGTAAGTTGGCAAAAGTCAAACGAGCTTTTCAAATCCGTTCTGAGATTTCGTCCGATACCAGCTCATTAGGGCTGATCAGACTTTCAAGATAAGTGAAGTTGTCAACACATTCGATTACCTCACTCCCTATCCTTAGTTCAGGTATTGACGCAGGCCAGTCCTGAAGCAACATGCGATTCCTTGTCAAGTTTGAATGTAGTCTACATTCATATATCATTTCTTCATTTTTCATCCGTTTTGATTTGCTAATCATCAATGCTCACGATCACCATGCCTATATAGAACGTTATACTTAACCAAGATACTCTTATCTGTATGTCTTTGTCGTATACAAAGTGTTCTCAAAACAACATCGTTCAAGTTGTCTTTCGGATGTTTCACTGTATATGGTTTTTTTTATATTAGGCATTTGGCTTTGAGCTAGTTGGGGACGTGTACGAACTTCACTTCACATGGTCTAATTTAGGTCAACTTTATAAAGTGTCATAAGTCGTATAATTTTTACAACTTACCCATCGATAACTAACAAACATATTTATATGTTTATGTTGTTATTGAAGTACATAGTTTACCTATACTTTACTTATTTCAGTTTAAATATCTCTGTAATTGCTTTAGACTTATTTCAATTTCCATCTGTGTACAATTTTCTTTTTAAATTTCATTATACATTGTAGGATTTAGTTCATCAAGAAATTACAGAACTTGAAATGCGAGCACGAGCTATTCGTGCAATGCTTAAAACTAAATCGAATCAACTCAAATCATAAATTTGTAAATTTATTCTTGAAGCATAAACATGTCATCTATCAATTGTTATCACTATGGTTATTATTATAAAACATTGTTTTCACCAAATCGTATGTTTCGATTTTTTCATCCCATTTTATTTCCTTTCCCCGTTTGTGTGTGTGTGTGTGTGTGTTTGTATATATACATCCCGGTTGTTTTCCTACTATTTGTATTATGAAACAGACCAACTATTCACGTATATACATATATTAGTTTGATTCTTATATCATTTCTATTTGTTGTTTATATTATCTACCATTTGGTTTGTTATACTCAATGAAATGAGATTATGTACATTAATAAAATTTCAATAAATATATACTTGCCCCCCCCTTCCAGCCAAACAAATTGGTGAAGCCTATTAAGCCCTTCTGGAGAGAAACAGGCCACATCAAAGCACGGCACAACTACCGGGGCTAGAATAGTTGTTTCTGCAATCCTTTGAAGTTTGCCCAATGATGAGCAACTCCATATGATACATGCACCACTTTCGAAAATTTTTTTTGTCGTTTTCCATTTCAAATGTAATTGTGTTGTGTTTCTCTGTGGGTTTCGTAATCGATTGGTGGGTATAAGTAAGAGTGGGTAATTAGCCCGATCTCCACCACCCGGGTTACCGCTCACGTTAGTTCATGAGTTATTCGTCTCATTATCCAGGAGGCACGACGCGAACATGTGAGTTGGATTTTGCCTCTCAAATATATACTTAACTGTTTACTAATAAAATAATCATTTGTTTATGTATGACAAAATTGAAGTTAGACATTAACATCATTGGATGCGTACGCTTTATGGTCTAGAGGTTAAGTGTTCGCTCACGAGACCTATGGCCATAGGTTCAAGTCCAATATGCGGTATTGTGGATGCGCATCTCTGAGGAGTTTTATACTAAAACAAACCAGCCATCCATTAATGGTCTAGCTTAGATTAGCTCATATTATTCAACTGTTAAAAATTATTACAATCTCTACAAATCAATATTTTGATAATAATTTCTCTCTACAGTCTTCATTTTGTTAGGTCTGCCTCGACGTGCGATATTTTTTGGTGTAGGAGTAGACTGGAAGAAAGCCAGGGGCGGCCAGACCAAAACATGGCACAAGTCCATGAAGTCACTGACAAGTGGACTGACCCATGTTGGTAGGTGTAGACTACCTGGTTGGGGACCGCGAGGTGATAGCAACCGATGGTTAGAGACCCTGAGTGACGTGGCTCAAAATCGTTTGCAATGGTGCAGGTGCATCCACTCTTTGTGTTCTCCCAAATCCTAATTTCCTGAATACTCCTTGTCTCTTTACAAATTTATTTCACTGTGTTATACTCTTTAAATAACATCTCCAAACCCTAATCCTTCCGATTACTGCTTATACTCTTACCATTTCTATCACTACTGGATCTGAATTGACAACTGCATCTCTGTGCTAATGTGGTGTGGCAACTCGAACTGATGTACGTATGTACGAAGTTCTACGTTGTTACTGACTGACTGACTGATTTTGTTAGGTCCCGATAGACATAATGAATGGTAACTTTTGGGATCCATTTATGGATCAATGCTATACGTACATTTTTATCGTATAATTGTTGAATAACTAAACTATTCATATTCTTCTTATCATAAGCTTTATTTTGACATATGAACTATTATTATACGATTTATCATTCTTGTTATACCCAGTCTATTAATTACAGTCTCCCATAATCACAGACACTTTCGGGTATATCTTGTACAAATGTTGTTTCCTATTTTATGTTACGTTGTGGTCTTTTTGATTGGTATATAAACTCAGTGTGCTTGAAATAAATAATTCATATTGCAGAGGCTGAGACTGGTGTTCTGGACTTAACTGGCTGTGCTAGGCGGAAAGCAGGATCAATCAGGACCCTAGACTGCTCGCACGTGTTTTACACGTCCTTGGTCCGATCGATAATTCTCTGCTTTCTGATTGGCGGCTTTGGGTCACAACATATTTAAGTTAATTACATTGTAAAAATCCTATAGATATTAATGTATTTCAGTAATTGCCTTTGTTTTCATTCTGACAACAGTAGATTTCTAATAGTTGCCTTCGTTCTGTAATGTTTCATTTTTGTCTACACCACTAACAATAATTTCACTAAAATTGTTAATGTATTTCTACACATGAGTTCGAATTCCGCGAGCAGGATCGTGGATGCGCACTGTTGAGAAGTCCCACAATAGAACGAGACAGCTATCCAATACTTTCAGGTTTTCAATAGTGGTCTAACATCAATCGATTCATGATCTTAATCAAAAACTTAATAATCTCCACAATCCTATAATGATATTCCTATCATTAATCTAGCTTGATTATGAATCAATAAATACCCGATTGGAGTGACTGAAATGATAAATACTCATGAAACGAGGTCATGAATGTCAACTAGATAGATGTATAGAAAAATTGAATTATTCATAATGACATAGATTTGTCATTTATGTAAACTAGGAGTGTAATTAACTAAGGTGATGTGTGGCTATAAATTACTAGTCAAGTATAAAAACAAAAAGTCAATAAACAAACAATGGGGCTACATTTCTTATTGTTATATTACTGGTTTTCATCCTGATTAGTCTCAATTAAAAATAATAGTCAGCTAATTATAGGTAGGTTACTTAGTTCTATTCATTTATATTGGTTTTTTGGATTTTCCTATTGATGTTTAGGACTGGAGTTGATCAGTTTATTTTGATATAAGTCGATCCTTTACGGATTGTCTCGACTGATCGATTTCAGTCCTCAACATTAGTAGAAAGATCCAAACAACCAATATAAATGAATTAAGTTTCATCTCGTTGCACAAACTAGTGGTTATTTGGGCTCAATGACTCAGTGGATAATGCGATGGCGCTTAAAGCAAATGGTACCGAGTTTTTGGCGGCCCGCTGATCTGACTCCAATTTGAGTGAACTAATGAATATGCCATGAACATAAATCCTCCATTTAGCTCCGTATATTATACATACGCTATCTTCATTTGTGTGATGGCGCTAGTAAGAAGCCAAATACCGGTTGCGTTGAATGAATTTATTCCAGGCACTCGTTTATCCAGACAGATATTCTAAATCAAAAGCAGGAAAGCGAAGCAAACAGGAGAAGGTAAGTTGACCAATTCAGTTAAATAGAGTATGACTTAATTTTAAAGGCGGATAATTGGCTAGGTGAAAATGTGACTCAAGAAGAGTAAGTTAATTGGTCCTGTTGAAAAGGCAGCTAACCAATATGTTGAGGCTAATGTCCTCAATATCTGACTCCAATAAATAATATCCCGTAAACTGAGTATTTTAGGTAGGCTTAATCTCCTAGTAGAATTGCGGATTTACTCGGGATTATTGAGAAGCCTGAACACCAGTTATAGAGATAGTTTATTGTTAATGATTAATAAAAATCCACAAGCGTACGGTGAGCAAGCACACGATGAACAGAGTGAGTGTGTGTGTCAAAAATCCACATATATTTTTGAGAGTTAATCGGGTGTGGATAAATTATCGATTATCTGCACATTGCAAGCAATAGGAGAATAGCTTATGAGTTAATGTACAGACATGCATTCGATCATACACACCGAAATCAACATAGTGAATTAAGAGTCTGAGTTACAATGAATAGACAAATGATACAGTAGCCAAATGGGCTTGCCACAGTCCTTCCGGAAATTAGAATAACTGATATGGGCTTGACACAGTACTAAACATTACAGTTCGGGTCCCAGAGTGAAAATTGACTGTGAGATGCAAGTACATCCAGCTAATGAGTTCCAAATAAGACGAATTTCACTGTTACTGAGCTTATCTGTAAAAATGTACTACTTATGTGCCTATCGAAACATCAAGTTTGATATAGTACATCACTCTTATAATCATTTAGGTTTATAAATCGATAATAATGACAGATACTTATATTCACTCTTTTGGTCTTCTGGATTTCTTTTTATTTGAAATGATAGGGGGATTTTTATGGCTTATCGATCATATAGAAAAGAATCATTTAACTGAACTCATCAGAGATTTTTCACTTCTACGTTTTTGTAGGGTTTGATCAACAATGATGATTGTAAAATATGTCTATTGATTATCAATTCATACGTGTATACTCCTAAGAGCCCATTTTCTATTTTCATTTAAGGATAAATATGGAAAGAACGTTGTGTATAAATAAAAACATTCTTGTTATGACTTTATGTCCGGCTAGTTATCACGTGATTTATCCACCAATCAAAATACGACTTATACAATCTTCGTACTGTGCCAAATCAATGACGTTCAACCGGTATGAGCAGCCTAGCGTCTTTATTGGCCCTATGTCCACCTAACCCGTCCACTTGAGTCCAGAACGCCAAATACCAGCTTCCACTATGGGAATCGAATCATTTATTCCAGACATACTGGGTTTATATATCAACCAAACAGACCGCAACGCACCATAAAATAGGAAATAACATTTGTACACAGTAAAGCCAAAAAGTGACTGTGAACGTGGGAGACAGTAATCAATAAACTGAACATAGATTAAGAACAATAAATCGTACAATAATAATCTATAGATCAAAATAAAGCTTATAACAAGGGGGATATAGATATACATAATCTAATTACTGAATATTTATAGCATGAAAATATATAAATAATATTAGTCCATTAATAAGTCTCAGACGTTACTCGTAATGTAATCTTCACTAGGATATAACAATTTTGGCATCTGAAAATCTATCGTACACTCTTAATTATAGTTAAATAATAATATTTATCGCCTCCAGATGGTCTGGTATGGAGGAGAATGGGGAAAGTCCACTCTTCTCGAAATGCTTTCAAATGACCACGCGTATACAGCCACTGTCAGGGAAATCATACTCACTGCCTTCTCGAGGTGAGGTGTTTACGAAACCAAGAGGACGAAAAGTGAATGTCCGGCGCTTTAACCAGATTGGTGGACACAAAAGGTCCTTGACTCCAAACCAATGGTGCACATGGGTTCCGGGATCCTGAGAGAACAGATGGCATATGTATCAATCGTTGGTCACTGGCTACCATGGGTTTTCCCAACATTGCTCCAATGCCTTGTGGACATGGAAAAGGCAGCGATAATAGGTAATAGCAGATAACTGTTCAGATTTGTTAAGGAAACCCGTATTCGGAACCAGACTGTTAGCGAAAAGATAGGGACACTCGTCGTTGCCTCTTCGTCGTCTCTGCCTATTCTCCCACTGACTGCAGCTCAGATGATGTAAAAGATGAGTTTTACAGAAAGCTTTCCGACCTCCTCCTAAAAGCTAGGCGCTCGGATGTAGTAATAGTGGCCGGTGACTTTAATGCTCAAGTAGGTAAACTAAGAGATAGGGAAAGACACCTAGGTGGATCTTATGGTGTCGTGGCTCAAAGAACAGATAATGGCGACCGTCTGTTGCAGCCATGCTCAGATAACCGCCTGTTCCTTGCAAATACTAACTTTAAGCATAAGGAAAAACATCTTTTAACATGGGGACCCCGTAATTCCTCACAACGTTGGACCCAAATAGATCACATCGCTATCAGCCACCGATGGAGGGGCTCGATAGAAGACTGTCGCTCATTCTGGAGCACATGCCTAGATTCAGATCATGCTCTAGTGCGAGCGCGTATCTGTCTGCGTCTTACTGGACGTAGGAAAGACGCTGCAAGGAAACCTCTTAGGGGCCTGCTTAATGATAGTCAAGCTAAGAGTATATTTCAGGAACAATTGGAAAAGCAGTTAGGCAGCCATGTAGGTGATGCCCACCCCGATGCAGCATGGAATGATATCCGAAAAGCTGTGGAAACAGCAATGATATCTGCTAGTACGGTAACCCGTAAAGTTAGGGAGCAACATTGGATCTCAGCAGCATCTATCTCACTGATAGATGCTCGGAAACTCATTCCACCTGACTCTGAACATAATGAAGAGCGGAGTCAGCTTAAGCACAAGCTGAAAAGAAGCCTACACAATGATCGCGAACAGTGGTGGGTAGCGAAAGCAAGAGAGATGGAAAAGGCAGCGGCAATAGGCAATAGCAGACAATTGTTCAGACTTGTTAAGGAAACCGGAATTAGGAACCCGACCGTTAGCGAAACAATCTCAGAGAAAGATGGACATATTATTCATTCTCAATCCAGGAGATTGGATCGATGGGCAGAACACTTTAGGGATCAGTTCAACTGGCCTTCAGCCACACTTCGGTTTCCCACGATCTCTAGTCAACCTGAATGGCAAGTTAATGTAGGTCCTCCGTCCCTTTACGAAGTTGAAAAAGCCATAGGAAATCTGAAGCGAGGGAGAGCAGCAGGCCCTGACAGGTTTACTCCTGAGATTTTTAAGGATGGTGATTCAGTATTGGCAGTGAGATTAACTGAGGTCTTAGGTAGGATTTGGGAACTGGACGTAATCCCATCTGACTGGTCTCAATCACTGATTGTGCCAGTCTATAAGAAAGGACAAAATTCCTCTTGTGAATCAGTTTGACTAATATTAGCTTCAATCATACTTCGACGCCTAACTAAAGCTCGTGAAGAGCAGACTAGAGAAATCCAGGCCGGTTTTCGACCTGGACGTGGTTGTATAGATCAGATATTCACACTACGTCAGGTTCTAGAACATAGACACACGTTCAGACGCTCCACAATCTTAGTATTTCTCGACCTTAAGGCGGCATTCGACTCTATTGATCGTGAGGTTCTATGGCAGTGTTTGTTACTGAAAGGAGTACCAAAGAAGTACATTAACCTTGTAAAGGCTCTCTACTCGAACACAACTGGTCGAGTGAGAGCTTATGGCGAACTGTCATCAGAATTGATCACCTCAAGTGGTGTTTGTCAGGGATGTCCACTCTCTCCATTCTTGTTTAACTTTGTGGTGGACGTACTTTTAGAGATGACACCTCCTCATCTAAATTTCCAGGGGTTGAATTTCTACCGGGAGGTTCACTTGTTGACTTAGAATATACTGATGACATAGTTTTATTTGGTGAAGACGCTGACAAAATGCAGAGTCTTCTTACCACTCTAAGCATCAATGCAAGCATGATCGGGGTGCGATTCTCTCCCTCGAAATGCAAAATGTTGCTTCAGGCTCGGGTTGAATCGACACCTGAACTAATGATAGGGAGTGAAGTAGTTGAGTGTGTCGACCGCTTCACTTATCTTGGAAGTCTCATCAGCCCTTGTAGTCTCGTGTGGGACGGAATCTCAGCACGGATACAGAAGGCTCGATTAGCTTTTGCCAACTTGCGTCATTTATGGCGTAGGCGAGATATCCGTCTATCAACCAAAGGACGTGTTTACTGCGCAGCAGTTCGTCCCGTCCTACTTTATGGCAGTGAAACATGGTCGGTAAGAGTAGATGATATTCGTAAGTGGTTACTAGTATTTGGTCACAGGTGTCTTCGAAACATTGGTCGTTTATCCTGGGACCATCGAGTAAGTAACTCAGTTATTGGGAAACGCGTGTTAGGTAAGGATGGCAAATCAATTGATGAAGTAGTGAAACTTCATCAGTGGAGATGGCTGGGACACGTGTTACGTATGCACAACGACCGACTGTCCCGACGTGCGATGTTTTGTGGTGTAGGAGTAGGTTGGAAGAAAGCTAGGGGCTGCCAAACATAAACATGTCACAAGTTCATGAAGTCACTGACAAGTGGAATGAGTCATGTTGGTAGGTGTAAACTACTACCTGGTCGGGATCTGCGAGATGATAGCAACCGATGGTTAGAGACCTTGAATGACATGGCTCGAAATCGTTTGCAATGGTGCAGGTGCATCCACTCTTTGTGTTCTCTCAAATTCTAATCTTCTGAATTCTTCATGTCCCTTTCTTTTTTCTCTTTCCAAATTTATTTCACTGGGTAATACTCCTTGAATAACATCTTCAAGCCCTAATGTTTTCGATTACTACTCATACTCTTACTACCTGTACCACTGGGATTTGAATCGACGATTGTATCTTTGTGCTAATGTGGTGTGGCAACTCGAACTGATGTGCGTACGTACGAAGTTCTCCGTTGTTACTGACTGACTGACTGCCTTGTCAATCATACCTTCAGGTCAAAGTCTCGTGGTCAGGCCCCCCAAGATATCACCTGCTTCGGTTTGGGCACTCGGGCGGTATCACAGCCCACACACAAACCAATGATAAGTAATACTGGTCTCATTATTATTCTGTAGTGTGTATGGATTTGGTGCCCCTTTGCACCCATATTTATGTCTTCAAATAAATAAATAGTAACATTTATCAAAACGTCTTATTGTGCACCACCTTATTTCATAAAGATGATTTTCAACAATCTATTTTGTGATGGATTACATAGTTTTTTCTCGAAAGATCAGAAACAATTAGGTACACCAATTAGTCAATACCGAAAAGTAACCCACGGTATCATTGAAAAGGAACTAACGCAATTCAGCGAGAAAAAATTTCTTTTTGACAAACACTATGATAATTGGTGCGCAAAAACAAGGGGTCCTCGGTTCAAGTCCCTCATGTGGAATCGTGTATGGGCAATTCTGAGGAATCTCATACCAATACGAACCGTCCAATGCTTTCAGGTTTTCAATGGTGGTTTAGTTTAGGTCGGCTCATATATTCAGCTGTTAGAAATTATTGCAATCACCATAAATTCCCATCCTGACAATTACTTACTGACTAACGCCCGTTAGTCCTCATGGAGGAGCACAGGCTGCCCACCAGTGTTCTCTGTCTAACTCTGTTCTGGAAAGTTCTTCCCAGCTTTATTCGTCCTTTTGATGTCTGCTTCAGATTCCTGACGCTATGTGTCCCTTGGTCTTCTACCTTTCTCTTCAATATTAAACGTTAGCGCTTGCTTCGTGATAAAGTTTAATGATTGCCGTAATGTATGTCCTACCCACTCCCAACGTCTTTTCTTAATTTCCTCTTCAGATGGAAGCTGGTTTGTCCTCTTCCATATTAAGGTGTTGCTGATGGTTTCTGGACGATCGATCTGGATTATCTTTCATATACAGATGTTTTTGAGTACTTGTACTTTCTTAATGATAGTGGTAATGGTTCTCCACTTTTCAACTCCATACAGTAGAACTGTCTTGACGTTCGTACTGAGGATTCTGACTTTGATATTGGCTGAGAGTTTTCAATTCCAACTATTATTCAACTATAGGAATGTCGCCGTCGCCTTGTCAATCCTTGTTTTTACATCTAAACTAAATACCCACTGTTCATCAATGATGCGACTCAAGGACTTAAAAACTTCCATAGATTCGCCATCAATTATGGTTGGGTTGATACTTGCTTCTTCGTCTGTGAATATTGAGGTCGCTTTCTGTGGAGGCCGCAGCTACACTAGTAGTCTTATTCTTCCTTTGCTGAAGTATATGGGATATAAGAACTAAGTTGTTTGCCGATTTCAGATCCTCTGCTTGCATGCAATCTGCCATTTGTATTCTGCTCTTGCGCTGAAATTTGGAGGTTTTCATAAGTCAATCAACAACTGCCAAAAATGGATAAAAGGTGAGAGTATGCAGTCTTATCTGACATTATTCTTCATTTGAAGTGCTTTTGTGAGCTTCCCACCTATGCATAAATTTGCACGTCATTCACTCGTAGAAGTTCCGTATGATGGCTATGACATTATCAGATAAAACTTAGTTTCTAAAGAGAATATATAATGTTCTCCTATCCACACTGTCGAATACCTCATAACCAAGTAATTTGATGCATAGTGATGAGTTTCATTAAACTGGTTATTCAACAATGGTCAGTAGTTTTGCGATTTGGTAGGTACATGATCAATCCTTACAGAATCTAGCATGTTGATTTCGAAGTTGGGCGTCTACTTCACCCTTCATTCAGTTCAACAACACTGGTAAAATCTTTTTCTGGTACTGATAGTGGTGTGATACCACTGTAGCTCTCACACTTGATAAGATCTCTTTTCCTTGATTTCTTGATGGCGTATCATGCTTTACAGTCTGTTGGCACCTTTTCTCACTCACAAATCTTCCTGAACAGAGTGTGCAGTATCTTTGCTTCCATTTCTTAATTCAGTCCTGTCATGACCTATGGTGTCCTAAATCTGAAACATACACAGTGCACTACGCGCTGATCCCCCCACCGACCACTTGAGTGAGTAGACAAGAGTGGACGAGAAAGTGTATTGGGATACTGAATAGAATGCACAAATACTCAAATATATACCACTCCATCCTTAGGAAATTGGCACAGTGAAATGCACTTGATCTTTAGATGACCTTCGATTGCCATCTATTGACCTTTTCATTAGGCTGTTGTCAGTTCGTACTGCTTTCCCACTCTTGAGTTGTCCGATGGTCAATCTGATTCCTTTAGTCTTTGGTGGGATGATATCTGTAAATGCTTATTCGATATCCAGTAGGACCGGTCTATTCAGGACTTCTTCAATTATTTCTATCTGCTTCGCTACTTTTGAATTTCTTAGATCAGTTTACCTTCTTTATTCTTGACTGGTTGTTCTGGTTTACTACAGTTCCCTACGAGCATTTTTGTTGGATCACCTAGTTCTTAGACCTAAGTCAACTCCAGGAGATTTGTTAGAATACTAGAAGTCTTAGTTATCTATTTAAATACAGGCCAAATATTTGATATATTTTAGTATAAAGATGATTAAAATTATGTAGACTGAAACTTACATACTTATATTTTTGTATACTTCCTTTTATCAGATCAATAATATTTTTTTTCATTTATTCTTGTAAAAGAGGCGACCTCAAGATAAACCATTCACTTTGACTAATTAAAATATCAGAAGGGGTTTTGTGGAGATTTTAGAAATTTCACTGATAGACATTAACACCGTTGGATGCCGGATCAGTGGTCTAGTTGGTTAAGCGCCTGACGGGAGACTAATAGGTCCTAGGTTCGACCCTCGCGGGTTGCAGGATCGTGGATGCGCACTGCTGAGGAGTCCCATATAAGGATGAAAAAGCCGTCCAGTGCTTCCAGGTTTTCCATGGTGGTCTAGGTTTAATTGACTCATGATTTCAATCAGTAATTAAAATATACCTAGAATAGTGAACAGTTTAATAGGATATAAAAGTGAGCCGAAAAATAAAACATGCGATTTCTAGTTGAACCAATTTATGAACCAATAGTCTTCACTTGTGTGTTCTCATTTACTGAACTAAGTGTACGATACGATTTTGATCAAAAGTAAATTCTGTCAATCTTAAATAGAATTTGTAAGTAGTAATTTAGTGTGAAGTAATCTGACTGCAATATTTTAATATATCCAACACTTAAAGTCATCTAAATATAAGTAGACAATTATAAGCAAAGATGAATAGTGGCTAGCAGTGGAATCCAGTTTAACATGTGTTTAATTCTACTTGGGACTCGTCAGCTAGATGTACTTGCATCTCAGAATTGATGTCCACTACAGGACTCGAACCTAGTACCGTTCGCTTCAAACGCCATCGTATTATCCACTACTTAGATACTGAGTTCTGATAGCAATATCTAGGCAATACGCATAGTATGCACATATGCCAATAAGAGACTGCTCAATTGTAGTCCTAAACATCAATGGGAAGATTCATGTAAACAACAATATCAAGTGAATATAAGTAAACAATAATTTAATACATTCTAGTTATTTATAAAATGAATCAAATATATTACAAAGCGATGGTTGTCTTCAGTCTTCAGTAATAAGGATAGTAGGTTGGTGAACCTGTGTTAATCCTGACAGATTGCCTTCCAGTGAAGGTCCAGTTTCTCCTTGAAAATATTCACTGATGGGGCTGATACCACTTGTTCGGGTAAAGCCTTCCAATCATTGACTACTCGATGAGAAAAACGGGACCCCACTTTAAGTTTATTGGATCGCGGTTTATGAACCTTCTTGCTATGACCTCAGAGATTATTAGTGCTGGAGGGAGCAAACAGATAAGACATATTAACACCCAAATCATAATTAAAGATACGAAATGCCAGTATAAGGTCACCTCGTGTCCTACGATACGACAAGGGGGAAAGGTTTAGGCGTTTTAAACGCTCATCTTAAGGAAGTTTGGAAAGACCCTTCAGTAATTTCGTTCCCACACGCTGGACTCGCTTAAGTGAGTTAGTATCCTTTACCAGACACGGGCTAGCTGCTTGGATTACTTACTTACTTACTTACGCCTGTTACTCCCAATGGAGCATAGGCCGCCGACCAGCATTCTCCAACCCACTCTGTCCTGGGCCTTCTTTTCTAGTTCCATCCAATTCTTGTTCATTTTTCTCATGTCTATTTCCATTTCTCGGCGTAATGTGTTCTTTGGTCTTCCTCTTCTCCACCTTTAGCATTGAGGATTCTATGTGAGGGCTTGTCTTGTGACGCAGTTCGGTGCTTTCCTCAATGTGTGTCTTATCCACTTCCAGCGCTTCTTCCTGATTTCTTCCTCCGCTGGGATCTGCTTTGTTCTCTCCCACAGTACGTTGTTGCTAATAGTGTCCGGCCAATGGATCTGAAGTATTTTGCGTAGACAATTGTTAATAAACACCTGTATTTTCTGAATGATGGCTTTCGTAGTTCTCCAGGTTTCTGCCCCATACAGCTCCTTGGATACAGTACTCTAAATGTGGTCTTACATAGGTGGGATATAAAATTCGAAACATTTCCTCGTCAAAAGATTTGAACGCTCGGTGAAGTGACCATAACGCACGAAAACCTTTGACAGCAGCTGCGTCGCAATGCGTAAGTGTTTTGAAGTCATGATTTATTATTACTCCTAAGTCTTTATGTTCTTGAACGCATGGAAGAGGTTTACCATCAATAGTATAATGGTAACTATTACTGTGACCGATGCTCATTAGCACACTCTCCCTAGAATTGATTTCTAAGCCCCAACCTCGTGTATGATTTTTCTTGACAGAGAAATCTAATCATGGAATCCATACACATGATAATTCTAAACGTAATAGTAATAAGTGAAATTACTAAATTCGAATCCTGCGAGCGGGATCGTGGATACGCACTGCTGAGGAGACTCACAATAGGACGAAACGGCCGTCCAGTGCTTCCAGGTTTTC